GCAAGATTTCTTCCTAAGGTGAGGCAAAAGAAAAGGGATGTTTACTCTTACTAGTCCTATACAGCACTGTACTGGACATGATAGCCAAAATTAGGCAAGAAAAAAGGCCTCCAAATTGGAAAAGAAGTAAATCTATCCTTATTTGCAGATGACATGATCTTATATGTAGAATCACTAAAAAATCCACAAAACAAACTGTTAGAGCTAATGGCTATTTTGTTTTTATGCCATCCATATATCCTCGGTAGTGAAGAATCAGTCTTTTGCCCATTTCCTCATTGGGTTGAATTTTTAAGTTCTTTATATATTCTGGAAAGAAGTCTTTAACAGATGCGTGATTTACAAATATTTTCAAATATTTTCTCAGTCCGTAGCAGCCTTATACTTAATAGCTAAAAACCAAAAAGCTTTAAGGTCCATAAACAGAAAATAGATGAACTGTGGTATACTGATAACAATGGAAGGCAACATAATAATAAAAAAGAACAAATTACTGATACACACAAAAATATAGATGAATCTATCTCTCAAACATTACTTTGAATAAAAGAAGTCATACACAAGAGTCCTTGAAGGTGAAATATGTTATCTAAATATGAGTAACATGTCTTCAAACGGAGTTTCTTTCTATGGATTTCATTAAATCAAAGATCTGCTATCTCTTATTCTCTCTCTTCCTTGCCACTGCCACCACCACTTTTCTGTTTTACTTTTAGGTAGGTTTTTGGAAGAAGCATAAAGGGAACGGAAGCAGAGAAACAAACTGAGAATGTTTTAGGATCCAGTATCTTTTTTTGAACAATAAAGTTTAGAGAATCTGTATTCCATAAAGTAGGATCACCACACATTACGAAGAGAACTTAGAAGAGACCAGGAATATCTATGATGTAAAAAAAAAAAGGTCACTGAAATTTTTTAAACTTTTCACGCTGAGATAATTCTAGATTCATATGCAGTAGCAAGAAATAACACGGAAAGATTCCTCTATATCGTTCACCTAGTTTCCACCAAGGAGAAGATCCTGCATAAATACAGTACAATATCACAACCAGGGAACTGATATCGATACAATTCACCAACTTTATCCAGATTTCACCAGCTTTACATGCATTCATGTGTATGTAGCTTCATGTAATCATCACTGAAATCAAGACACAAAACAGTTCCAATCATAAGGATTCCCTGTGTTATTTTTTTACAGCTATGCTCACCTCCCTTCACTTACCCCAATCCCTAACCCCTTCAATCATAAGGATTCCCTGTGTTATTTTTTTACAGCTATGCTCACCTCCCTTCACTTACCCCAATCCCTAACCCCTTGCAACACTACTGTTCTTAATCTCCATAATTTTGTCATTTCACGAATGTTATAGAGATGGAATCATGTACTAGGCCAACTTTTGAGATTGGCTTTATTAACTCAGCATAATTTTCTTGATACAGCAAAGTTGTGTGTATTGATAGTTCATTTTTTTGTTGAATAGGATTCTTCAGAGCTAATATTTTAGGCAAAAAAATAGGGTGAAAAAAACCCTTCCCAGCCCCTGAATCCTTATCTGCCATTCCCTAGGAATATGAAACACTATTCAAAGCATTAGAATGATATACGAACAAAAAAAGTTTAACACAGTTCTGATAACTCGACCTCACTCTTCTTATTCTGACAAGATATATGCCATCTGTATATTATTTAAGGAACACAGCTGCTTGACATTTCTGAGGACCTATCTCTTCCATGTGATTTTCAATTCATAAGATGGCTATTGAAATCTTATCAACCTGTCCATTTGACTATTAAAACCCATACTAAAATGACAGGTTAATTCAGCTTAATCAACGATACAACTAAAAAGCTGAATGACATTCATGTGATATCTACTAAGTGGTTAAGTGAGAAAGAAATTAAAATTTATCAACATGGCAGTCTCTCTCTGTATAAAACCTGATACTTGTTTTTAACTTGCAGTTAAAAAAAATCATAAACACTTCTAATCCTACCAGTGTGCCAAGCTACAAATACTACAAAATAATTTTATATAGGTACACAAATACCTTTTTACTCCTTAAACATATATAATAATTTAACTCTGAGTAGAGAAGAAATTAGAGAGGTTTAAATAAGCACTGGAATGGCTTTGGAGGTCTAAATTTCAACTTAAAAAATCATTTTGGAAAAATATAAAGAACTTAAAGACAAAGTGATTACAATGTCTTTTAAAATAAGGCAAAAGACTGCTTAACCAAAAATTCACAGGCCCAATTGTTTATCAGACCTCAGTTCAACATGATAAAACCACTGCTGAATTCATAAGCTGTATTCATAAAGAACCAACTTACGAAATTCTTCTGTACTATAATCATCAAAATTTAAAAGGAAAGAAACAAATACCTGATTTCAGCACCCTGGGCACAGTCAACGTCGAGAGAAGATGCAAAATCTAATTGTTCCATTCTTGGATTTGATAGATACAAATTGTGATCTATACTGATCACTATCAGATTCTCAGTGTTAAACAAGGAACTACCTAAGAGGTAGTTGTCTAACTTGCCTCCTTCAAGCCACTGTAACATCTGAGCAACTCAGCCTATCTTCTGACCATATAGCAAAACTATTCCAATGAAGGGTTTGGCTTGATAATTATCTTCAGCCTAGAAGACTCAATAACCATAATAAGGAAATGAAAGACGTACAATAGTCATACATTCTGAAGGCCAGTTTCTTAAAAATGACTCATGACCATCATTTTTAAGACTAATGTTAGCAAGAAAAAAGCCCGAAGTTAGATGTCTATTTACTTAACTAAAAATATTTAGCTTCTTCTAAAAAGGGAATTCTAAAGCATCACATACAGTGTATAGTTTATGATAAATAATCATCAGAATCTACCTAATTCAACCAGTGATAAATTACCAACTCCAATAAATGTCTTTAATAAAAAGCCCTAGAAACAGAATATTCTACAAACTTATTTAACTAGAAAACTAAAATAAATTCCTTTTAAATGATTTCCATTAAAAATGTTTAATTAACAAAAACAAATACTTGCAAAAATTCAAGAACCCAAATTCTACATTAAAAGGAAAATCTGCAATATACGACAATTTGGATAAACCTTGATAACACTACGCTAACTGAAATAAGTCTGTCATGAAAAGACATACTGTATGATTGTACTTATATGAATACTTGGGAGTTATCAAAATTATAAAGACAGACAGTATAATGGTGATTGCCAGGGGCTGGAGGAGGAAAGGGGAGTTACTGTTTAATAAGTATAGTATCAATTTTACAAAATGAAGTTAGAGGGATGGATACTGGTGATGGCTGCACAACAGTATGAATGTACTTAAAACCACCGAACCATATGCTTAAAACAGTGAAGACGTAAACTATATGATGTGTACACTTTACCACAATAAAAAGGAAAAAAAATGTTTTAAGTGATCTAAAAATTCAAATCCTTGAAGATGTTTTTCTCCTGTTTCTATTATTTCAGATTGTACTCTACTATATGAAGACTATAGGGTGCAGAGCCAATCTACAATCTTACAGGAAATATCATTCTAAATGAGTCAGAAGCACTCAGGCTATATATGACATACTACATACAATTAGGACATGTGATGTTTACTCGATGATCTCTCTTCATTGCACAATTCTAGCCCCTGTTTCTACTGACAAACATGTTACATCATAACCAAATGTATGCAGCATAAACACTAAGCAAATAACTGAACAAGTATAAAACACCTGTATATTTCCTCTTTGCTCCAACCTAGAAACAAATGAGTAATTATGAGTTGTTGTCGGTTCCTGGAGTTCCCATACAACTTTTTAGCACTACCAGTACACCAGCATTTCTTTCTACTTATACCTTGCTTACCCAAGATGGGAAGCCAGATAGTTCTAGTAGGGACCAGGACTTTGTATCCTATTAATTTATGGAAAATGTAAACTTCTAATTTCTGTCTAAAAACAAACGATTTCTAAACGCAGTACTTAACTTCTACGTATTTTGGCTACTGAAGGTTTAGGGAGAAACAGCCACTTAATTGACTCCATTAAGAGTGGCATATAAAAATATTTACATTTTAAACTTTTAAAGGATTTTTAAAAGGATTTAGAGAAAATATTAGTCTTAAGATAATAAATGTTGCTAATACTCAGCATTACCACATTCAATCTAATACACAGTAGCCAGGAGACACAATTTCAAAAAATCTATTTAAAAACTATAATCAGTTTGCAGCAAATGTCACATAAGAATTTCATTCTTATTTTTAAATGTTTTTACTTACTTTTGAGACAGAGAGAGCATGCACACAAGCAGAAAAGGGGCAGAGAGGGGGACAGAGAATCCAAAGTGGGCTCCACACTGAAAGCAGAGAGCCCAATGCAGGGCTCGAACTCACCGTGAGATCATGATCTGAGCCAAAGTCGGAGCTCTTAGTTGGTTACTAAGTCACCCAGGCACCCCAAGAATTTCACTCTTATTAACTAAGGTACAGAGCGCCCGGGTGGCTCAGGCAGTCAGTTGAGCATCAGAGTTCAGCTCAGGTCATGATCTCACGGTTCATGGGTTTTAGCCCCGCGTCCTGCTCTGTGCTGACAGTTTGGAGCCTGGAGCCTGCTTCAGATTCTGTGTCTCCCTTTCTTGCCCTCTCCTGCATGTTCCCTCCTGCGTGTTCCCTCTCTCTCCCTCTCTCTCTCTCTTAAAGAAATTTAAAAAATGTTAACTAAGGTACAATTCTCCAGCAGCTGAAGACTTTCTTCAGTTAAGGACTTTTATTAGTAGATATATTAAAATACAGCAGCAGCAGTATGGTGTTCTAGCGCTTAAAAATCTAGATTCTAGACTAGGTTTGAACCATAAACTGGCCTTATAATCTATGTAAATTGCCTAACTTCTCTACACACTAATTTCATCATCTGTAAAATGAGGACAATGTGTGCCCACTTTACAGAGCTGTTTTGAGGATTAAACAGACAAAATACTTACCGATGATAGGCTTCTCGCCGATACTTTTTCAGGGCATGCTTATCCATGTTAGCAGGCATATCTGCTGCATTCTGTAACCGATCACTCCAGGAGGTTGACATTTTATTTCAATTGTATGCTGAATTCTAGAAAAGGAAATCAGTAGTTTAGTAGCTTAATGTTGGTATTTACTGTTACCTGATTTTTTTTAACAATCAGAAAAACTCTAGATTGCAAATTTACTGATATAATTATCTATTTAAATATACCGAATATGGGGGCGCCTGGGTGGCGCAGTCGGTTAAGCGTCCGACTTCAGCCAGGACACGATCTCGCGGTCCGTGAGTTTGAGCCCCGCGTCGGGCTCTGGGCTGATGGCTCAGAGCCTGGAGCCTGTTTCCGATTCTGTGTCTCCCTCTCTCTCTGCCCCTCCCCCGTTCATGCTCTGTCTCTCTCTGTCCCAAAAATAAATAAACGTTGAAAAAAAAATTTAATAAAAAAATATACCGAATATGGTAAATATACTGAAAAATTATACTTACCCTTCTAAACTATGTCAATTTACAAAAATAATTTCATATGGTAATTTCTATCCAGACAGATATTCCAAATAATTAAGCATGACTGCCAATAAAAACTAACTTCAATCCTAGATTCTAGAAGAGACCTAGACAACAGATTTGTGAAAATATATTAATTTTCAGTTAATATAGGTTTCAAAATATGTAAAGTAAGCAACTCTTTCTCTTTTTTTTAATGTTTATTTTTGAGAGAGTGCATGTGGTCGCACTCTTGTGTGCGAAAGAGCAGGGGAGGGGCTGAGAGACAGAGACAGAAAGGCAGAGACAGAGACAGAGAGAGAGGAAGAGAATCCTAAGTAGGCTCCTTGCTGTCAGGGTGGAGCCCAACATGGGGCTCAAACCTAAACTGTGAGATCATGACCTATGCTGAGATCAAGAGCCAGACACTCAGCCCACTGAGCCACTCACGCACCCCAGCAACTCTTTAATTCTAATCAACACACTAAGCTCAATCAATGGGGGTAGAATTGCAAGTAATGAATGTCTGATTCCTAATTATATCATGCTTTTAAATTTTTCTACAATTGTCTTTCAGCTGGTATTAAAGACTATGGACTAGAAAAAAAAAAAAAAAAA